TTTGAACTGAAATCCTCCTGCCTCAGCCTCCCCAGCTGCTGGGATTATAGGCATGTGCTTCCACACCCAGTGAATGGGGAATTTTTTCCAATAGGTAGAATGTTTCTGTTTGGGAAGATGAGAAATTTCTGGAGATGGATGTTGATGATGAATGCACCACAGCATGATGGTAATTCATACCACTTTACATGTGCAAGACGATAGTGAAAGTTGTAAATTGTTTGGGAATTTTAATATTACCATAGTAAAACCAGAAATAACAACCTAAAAATAATATTTTTTTTTAAAGACGAGCTTCCTCCTGTGTGAAAGAAGAGCCTCCAAAATTCTGTGGACATATTCCCTTCTATCTTCCCCATTACTGTGAGAAAGTCCTTAAAGTTAGTGACAAACTGGACCAATTTGGCTAATTATCAGCTCTGTGCATTGGGCCTCAATGTCATATAATCATCAATAATAAGCCTGTGCCTGCAGCCCTTCAGCTTCATGGTTCCAAGTTCAGTGGCCTCCATACCTGTGTCTCCCCCCATGATTGGTGGCATCAGAGAAATCCTATGTGAAACTGCACTGGCATCAATCCTGCGGATGGAGCTGGAGCCTTCAATGGGTATCAGAGAGTAGATGAACCTTAGATCTTCACGGTTCTGCCATGATCCATCAGAGATGCAGTAAGTGCTGGAGGAGATAAAGGATGGAGGATGGTCTTTCCAAAGAATCGTTTCCTCATTATCACAGCAAAAGTTAATATTGGGTAGCCAGATAGGAGAATAATGATATGCAAAATCACATTCCACTATTGTCATGTATGTAAAAAAAATCTCAGGTGTGAGGACTGTAAAGTTTATGTTCTCAGTTGTGTAAAACGTCCTAGAAATCTCATTCAAAGTTTTACTTTCCTCCCAAACTTGTTCTGTTTACCATAAACGTCCCTTCCACAATAGCAGAAGACAGCTCCCATTAAACTGTTTCCTTACTTCTCCAAAAGGCTTATGAAGGTGATGAGGAGGATGAAGATAGTGTTCATAATAGCATGACTCATTATTTATAGCTTCCTGAGTGCCAGGCTCTGGGCTATACATTCTATGTAGATTATTTCAGTTTTCCTGCATAGTCTTTCTCAGGTTAGAAGCACCTTTTTTTGTTCATTTACAGAGGAAATAAGAGAACAGAATTTTTATGAAACTCATGCTAGGCTTTTAGCTTGTAAACTCTGAGTTTATGTTGGAATTGAGCTGTCTGGTATGGAACAGGGACTCTGGGAAGGAGAATCCTCAGAGTTTGTGTTCCTTAACTCAACCATCATTTAACTTACCTCTTACTCCAGCATAAGACCTGCCCCTCAGGGTGCACTTACATTTGGGGGTATCTGGTAAGTCACAAAACAGATCAGCAGGTGTCACCAGAAGCAGTGATTATGGGAACAATGACCGAGGTCATAGGAAAAGATCATAGAAAGAAAAGACACACCATCATTCAGCACAGACTGCTCTCTTTCCCACTCCAGGATGAACTTGCAGCTGTCCACATCTTCCCGCATTCTGAAAGTCAGACCACTTAACCTATAAAGGAGTCTTTGAGTCAGGTGTTGGCTTCATTATTACTCAGAAAAATGGAAAGAGTTGAAATAGGTACCAGATGTGGGCCTCTGATGAAGACCTCTGTACCTCTGCTAAAAACTCCCAGATGGTCCTGAAACAATGAAAAAGATTAGTCCATGTTACCCAGAGCTGGGAACTTAATTTTACATCCTTTTGCATGAAAAAGAAGGTTGTAAGACTCTCAGTTTATTTATAGTTGAGACAACTGTGTTGAGTTAGGATCAAGCAGATAATTGATGCTCCCTGTGTGTTTAATATGTACTGAATGCATACAATTGGGAAAAAGAAAACTTGCCTGTTATTATTGGTAGTAATGATAAGGTTAAGTCATCACACCACTTAAGTAAAAGATTCTGTGACCTGATAGTACAGATTTCCTATTTTTGTATAAAGAATTTTTTTGTGTGTGTAACTATATGCTGACATCTATAGAGGAATGATTGATCTGATTTCCATTTCCCCAGAACCTATACCTTGTTTAGCACAAAAGGGGACATAAAAACAGAAAAGTCTCTGTTATATATTAAAGAAACCTTTTCTGGTCCACAGTACTTGGCCTACTCCGTGTGGATCCAGTGTTCTTGTATTTCCCTTCTTGCACTTTCATCTCTTTTAAGAATGTGTCACAGAACTAGAGACAGGTCACAATAGCTATTGTCTGTGTCTGTGCCATGGTCACTTGGGCCCTATGATTCCATTTAGGTGCATTGACATTTATTGGGCAAATTTATTTGTGAGCATGTACATATATGCAACAGCAAATCCGATAAATATGTACAACTGTAATGCACCAATAAAAATATCCTGGCAGAGATTTTTCATGCAATAAAATAAGAAAAATATGCATAAATATTAGTGGCCAGGTGAGCCTTAAGTCTTGAGG